CATGAAATTGAAAAAAATCCGGAAAATTTGCCACATAGTAAAGGCTGCCGTGGCCTAGGTTTCTCACTGAAAATCCTCGTCCCCCGGCGGCCTTTTTTTGAATTTTCTTCCTTTTCAACGCCGTTTTTTGGGAATTTCGGATTTTTTTGAATTTTTTCGCAATAACATTCGGAAAATAGATAACTTTTAACACATTTTAATGCAATAAAAATTTTTGGTCGGAGTCCCCCTTCAAAGTTGCTAGACTGTTTAAGGTAATTTTTATTGAGCTCAAGTTGATTCCAGAATTCATCATTTTTAAGATTATCTGAGACATTTTCAGACACTTCTTGTGGAATCCCTGAAAAGATATGAAGACAAACTGTCGATTGTTCCTCCATCTCGTCGTGAATGGTCCTGGGTTAGCAGTTTCAATTTCGCGTATTCCCTTCTTCTAACCGTTGGTGCTGGTTTCAAAGTTCCCGTTACAATTGGTTCTCAGGTAATATAAAGAACATAAATTGAGAGAGGTTAATTTATCTATTTTTCAGATATTTGCTATCTTTTATTGCCTCATTGGTATTCCATTGTTCTACAGCACCCTCGCTCTCATAGTTTATCGTCTCATTTCGCCGGTTCTCAAAGTGAGTTTGATGGTTGAAGAGACGCAGAGAAATGTTCCCTGTTTAAAGATGATGATGACAACAGGGGATCAGCTTAAAAACAGAAAATTGATCAAAAATATGAGAACAGAAGAGAAGAATAAAAAATCTCGGCGAACACTGAAAATATCTGGAATATCTGAAATTTCTGGAAATATTTCCGAACATTTTATATAAAAAATCTTAAAGTTCATTGTTCCATTATTTTCAGTGGCCATCGTTGACTCGTTCCCGCCGATTCGTGCTCATGCTCGCGGTCTTTGGTCTCTTCATTCTCTGGACCCTCCTCATTGGACTTTGTCTCTATTATCAGGTATCCATCTGTTTCTTTCTCGAAATCTCTTCCAATCCAACTATTCTTTTTTCCAGGTCCTCAATGATTTCTGGCTCAGCATCTTCAACGCATTCACCGGATCGTTGACTGTACAAATTCCAAGCCCAGTCCACATCACCACATGCGGAGTCCTCTTCCTCAATTTTGCCGCTACCATCTCGGTTTCTCTTCTTCTTCTCATCCTCCTCGTCTCCCTCTCCATCTTCTTCCCTAAAGAATGTGAGTCAGAAGACACTTTTTTCAATCCTCTTTCTTCTATCCTCATCATCCATATTACAGTACTTCTCCAAGAGACCGACAAAGCTGTTGAGGAAAAACTTGAGCGTCTGACTCCTCCACCCAAGTTCCAGGTCATTGTGGATGAAGCAGGAGAGAGCAAACTCACCACCACCCAATAAATCACAGCTACAATTTATTAGCCTCCCTGCTTCTTGTCTTCGCTTCTAGGCATTTTTCTCTTTTCTCTCTCTCTCTCTCTCTCTCTCTCCCTCTCTCTCTTTTCCTTCTTTCCTATTGCTAAATGATTATGCAACGATTCTTGTGCCACTTTTTAACTTTATTGCAGTTTGAGAATGGATAAAATGAAAATGTTAAAACTAACAAATCGTCCGGTGAGAGTGGAGGAAGCACTACACACACAGGAATATGATGAGATTCTTTTCGGGATGCAGTGGAGGGGGAATTATCCAAAAATTTAAGACAGGGAAGAAGGATGGTGGAAAGGGTTAGTGGGATAAAAGAGTAATATTATAAATAGATATCATTTTGGTCGGAGACAGGATTGAAGTGGCATTGGGCGCTGAAGAACATGTCTATTCAGCGGCAACAGCTGGAGCTTCTCCAGAAGCAACGACTTCGACCTGCAAGTAGAATCAAGTTATTGACATTGTCACCCAAGAGAAAGATGAAACGATTCATGAAGAATTCATGAGATATCTGCTCCAATACTCGCCCTCCCTCCGTTCTTCTTCTATATAATTAACGATTAATCTTCATCCCCCTATTCTATTCTAATTGAGGGAGTCTTTTCAAGGACATTACCTCATCGTCGACCTTGCTCTTCTTGGTCGATGGAGCATCCTCGTCGGCGGCTTCAGCAGCCTCCTCGTGAGCGCTGGACACACGTTTACGGTCCTGTAATTTGTCACTATGAATTACTGTCTTCATTGGAATCTCTTACATTGCCATTGGTGTCCTTGGCTTCTCCGTTCTCAGCCTTATCCTCCTCCTCAGCAACCTCAGCCTCAGCCTCCTCGTTCTTCTCCTCGGCAGCATCAGACTCTCCAGCTGGAGTCTCCTCAGTTTTCTCACCGCTTCTGTAAGGATATCCAAATATAATGGTTATCGGATTAGTGTGCAATCTGTTGCCAGTGTCTGTCACCTCCCACTGTATTTGCTGCTGCGCTCTTTATGACACCTTCTGTCTCACCCACCCACACCAAAGCACAAGTATAATGCAAATAAGGGAGTGTGTGGGTGATCATGGTCTTTTCTTCAGCTTTTTTCGAACACTGTTTCAACTCTTCAAACCGCCACCGCTCACATTATTCACATCTTACGGGTGTGACCTCGAAGAAAAATACCACTTAACGCCCGCGCGGCGCAGGTGGGGGATGCAAAAAAGTGGCTCGCAATGGTTATGACCTAAATAATGCGGGCGAAGAAGGGAAAGATGAGGAAGAAGATCCATGAACTCACTCTTCTTCAGCTTTCTCGGCCACGACCTCAGCGGCTTCAGCGGATTCCTCGGCTGGCTTCTCCTCGGTTGGTTGAACAACCTCTGGTTCTTGAGCAGCAACAGTCTCGGTAACCTCGGACATCCTTCTGGAAAAAAGAAACGATTTTTTGTTGTTGTTGGGTTTGATGAAACTAAAAGAAAACGAAATAAGATGAGAGATTACGGTAGGGAGGAATGGGGGATTCTGGTTCTAAAGAAGAAAATGGAACACCATTCTAGACAACGGATCAGTTTAGGATCAAAGAAAAGCATGCGCATATGAGGTGCTAACAAGCACGAGAAGAGCTGTCTTGTTATTTGGCTCCTCTCGCTCCTCACACAGGCCTCTGGCGCTGCGCGCCCATCCACCGTCGGTCCATCCTGTGCCTGACACTCGGACAGCTAGAGGAAGACGGCCGCGGCTGTCCGAAGGAGGCGGCGGCCCCGCTCACACTCCTCGGCGGTGGACGAAACGAAGAATGAGAGGAGAGGAGGGGGGAGCCTCAATGGCCGCGAGTTTCGAATTGCCTCGTCGCAGAGGGCTAGAGACACAGAGGATTAGGCTCCGCCCATCTGCGCGAGAGACTCTGGTCGTCTGGCTTCTTGGCACCGTGCCAAATGCAGGTTTGGCGCGGATTGCGAGAGGAACACGTAGAGTATGTGAATCTGGAAAAGAGAAGAAGGCATCTGATTTTCAGATCTTCAATCGTCATCTAACTGACTTAATCAGAGATTGACCTCATTTTCTCTGCGAATGCCCTTGGCCTAAAAAGTTTGAAACTTATATATAAGGAATTGGAAAATAATCTGAAGACCGTTTAGGAAAAAAACTACAAAGCAAAAGATGCAGAACATTGACACTCCACCGATTCCGAGGAAGGGGTTGTCTCCGAGGAACCGATTCCGAGGAAATCGGGGCGGAGAAAAGCTGGTTGCCGCGGCCGAAGTTTCCCACGACGGAAACTATCGTAATCTCCAACAGTTTTTTCTTATTTTATCTCGATTTTCCCTGATTTTTTAACGTTTCAACAACGCCGGAAAATGAAACAATTTATAAAAAGTGAAAAAGTTGCCAGAAACTGACAAAAACATAAATATTGGGAAATGGGAATTATTTTCAAGTTACTGTAGTTTACATTGTGGGACCTTCGTCTACGGCCGTCATTTTTTCAATACCAATATAATTCGAAAATTCTAGAAACTCGAAGGCGCACCAGTCAGTCATTTGTTTGAAGCGCCAGAGGTTCGGCAATCAGGCTGATTTTGTTGAAATCCGTAGAGCCCTTGGAAAAATACTATGTTCTAATTGTGTTCCACCTAGAATACTTCGCGTAATTTTTATTACGAGAACCGGAAATTGAGAACAAATTAATGAAGAAAACAGTTTTGAACAGAGTCTTTAAAAGCAGTAAATAAAACAAAAGTGATCTTGAACAGATATCAGGTCAAATTATTCAGTCTTCATGAGATCTGGGAGAACCAGAGGCGCTGCGTCCACTTCCTCGGCTACGGCTGCGTTCACGACTTGGACTGCGGCTTTTGTTTCCATTGCCATTCTAAAAGAGAATAATTTGCATAAGAAGACAACCAAAAAATAGAATACCTTGTGTGAAGAGACACTGCGGCTTCTGCTTTGGCGTCGGTCATCAGCTCGAGCTGGGGAACGAGATCTCGATTTTGACTCTTCTCGCTTTCTGAAACAAGAAAATATGAATATTCTTAAAATCCTTTATGCATTTCTGTGTTCCGATGATGGCGCAATAAGGTTTTCAGGGTCAAAATTAGTAGTCTCACTCTTTTAAGAAACGGCGGCTTTGGGAAGCTGCGGGGGTTGAGGGAGATGAAAATCGAAATGAATTGAGTTGAACCAAATTGTGCTTGAACTGTCTCAGCTATGTGACCAATGCCATGTGGGCTTGTAGGTGAAATTGATTTGTCATTGAACTGTAGCTAAAACGGTTCGTGATGTTGCACCCGTTTTTTCATCGTAGAAAGTATCATGAGACTCACGCGTTTCTTTTTGGGCTCGGAGATCTAGACTCGCTTCTGCGGCGACTTTCACGTTCTGGTGACTTGGATCTCGAAGCGCTTCTAGAACGAGATCTACGCGAACGCTTGCGATCACGAGAACGGCTGCGAGAGCGTCTTCTTGGAGGCGTGCGAGACCGACGTCTTGGAGAACGAGAACGTCTTCTTGGTGATCTGGATCCTCCACGAGCATCGCTTCCGCGCGGCTTTCCTTTAGCCATCTCGACAACAACACGCATAGAGCTGAAAATAATTCCACAATGAAATCTCCTTTAGACACGATAGAATTTCATACCTTCCATCCATGGTCTTGCCGTCCAAATCGTGACAGGCATCTTCGGCATCTCGATAGTCTTCGAAGTCGACAAAGGCAAATCCATATTTCATCGAGATGTTGGTGATTCTGCCATATCCTTTGAGGAAGCGTTCGATATCACGCTCTCTCGCATGATATGGAATTTTTCCGAGGTAGATGCGCGGCATACCTTTAAATGTAAACGGTTAATCTATTAAAAAGACTAAAAAGTTCGAAAATGGAAAAATTCAAAGTACAATGCAAAACACCGTTATTTTCTGGTTTTCCCTTTTCCGTAAATAGCAAAGCAGTAAAAAGGTTTTTTCGTAAATTTTCTGAATTACTAGAATATCAAAAAGAGCAACAATTCCTCCTTTTTTTCCAGAGAATTTGAACAAAATACAGCGAACATAAAATGCCTGCGGGAATAAATCGCACACATGAAACGACTGTTACCGTATACCGAAATCGCGGCGAAACCACTTGGCACGCCGCCAAGCCGATTCAGTTTTCGAATATGTTCTGATTCACAGAGTTTTTGCTTGAAAATCTGAAAACAAGTGAAGAAACTACTCATTTTTAAACTTTCTTCATAGTTGCAAAAGGCCCGGCCGGGCCGATAGACTAATTTTCTCGGCCCGGTCCGCCTACCATTGTTCAAAATTTTCCGATGAAAATTTGAGAAATTTTTTTTTCAATTAAAAAAAAAGGTTGCATTATTCAACGAAATTACAAAGTATGAAATAGTCGAAAATAGGTCGTTTTCGTTTAAATTTTTGAAAAAATTTCAAAATTTTCGAAAAAAAAAATCAACGTCTGTAGGCAACCCGGCCCGCCGAAATTCTCAACGGGTCGGCTCGAGATTTTGCAACTATGACTTTCTTGTATCTCTTCTCTTGTTACATCGTTTATTTTTAATTCGCATTCGTTTTATCGATCTTGCAGGTATCCAAAATGAAATTGGTCAGATTCTTGATGAAGCTCTCTCACGAGACTGTCAACATTGAGCTGAAAAACGGAACACAAGTTTCTGGTAAGCTTTTCTTTTCTATTTCGAGTTGTGTTGCTAATAAAAACAACTGGAGGCTAATTGATAGTGTATGGATTCTCCTGAATTTCTGTTGAATTGTCATGGTTGAGCACCTTTATGTTTCCAAACTACTTTGAGTGGAATTGCCAAAAGTGATAATAATTATAATAATTTCAGGAACAATCATGGGAGTAGACGTCGCCATGAACACACATCTTCGTGCTGTATCGATGACAGTCAAAAACAAGGATCCAGTCAAACTTGACACCCTTTCCATCAGAGGTGAGTCATTCATTTTCTTTGTTAAAGTCTAATTTAATTATGTTTTAGGCAACAACATTAGATATATTATCCTACCAGACCCACTCGCTCTCGACACTCTTCTCATCGATGACGAGCCGAGAAAGAAGGCACGCGCTGCTCGCGCTGGAGGTATGTTTTCAGACAGGTTCAGCACACTCCGTAGTGTAATATTCTGCGAGTGGCTGCAGAACTGAATAGAACTTTATTGATAATTTTTGAAAAATATGATTTTCAGCATCTCGAGGTCGTGGTGGGCGCGGTGGAATGCGCGGAAGAGGAGGAAGAGGCGGTCGCGGACGCGGAGGACCACGCGGAGGTGGACGCGGACGTTAAGGTTTCATCGGGTTCCAGAAAATTTGTCTTCACTTTATCACGATTTTTTATTGCGAACCTTGTTACATTCACAACCTGTTTCTATCAGAGTTTTTGAAATAATTTATTACGGCTTCATGAGCGAGCATGTAAATTATCAAGTTTCGTAGCCCACGAGAGCAACTGTATTTCATTTTTTGTTAAGTTCCGATCTCCATAAATTTTAATTTCCCAGTTTAGACGAATTCCTTCTTTTTGCCAAAACACTTGTGTTCACAGTTATTTACATCCACTTCTGATGTTTTGAACAGCTTGCCCCACCAAAATGCCTTAAAATAGACGAATTTTTCGCAATCAAGTTTCAAAACAAAACTCACAGAGATGGTAGCCAATGGCATTCCTACAATTATTCCAACGAGCACATCACTCCAGTGATGTTTGTTATCTGAGATCCTGGAACAGCAGATAAACAATCCTACAGTGAAAATAAGAGTTTAAAGAATTGAAAGAATCACATTGTTTCGGATCGTTGGTTTGAGTCGAGCTTGCAAGTACAGCACAGTCCAGAACGCACAATACATCGTTACAGTTGAGTGTCCACTGTAGAAACTTTTTCGTGCTTCTTCTACTTCTTCCGGGTTCCCTTGACAATGATAATCTTCAATATAGATGTTAGGATCGAATTTCTGACATTCTTTGAGAGGAAGTGGATTGCACACAACGTAGAAGTAAGGACGAAGTCGTCCGATGAATCCGTTGACGAATTTCACAAGCAGCTCGTTTACGATATATCCAACCTGGCTGTATCCTGAATTTGAAATTTAAAGTGCTGTGGAACTTTTGGAATCTTACCGACGAATGTGAGTACTGTAACAAAATATTTCGGCACAACCGTATTTCCGATACGATAACTGATGCCAGAAGTTTATTTAGATTTGTAAAGCAGCCTTGAGCGCCTCCACTATAAAAATGGATAAAATCATGAGTGATATGTTGTAAACACGATGTTGAAGACTTGTTACAGTGCTTGGTTTGTGTGTATAGTGTATCTCGGAATCTACACAAAAGAATCCGCGCTCTGTAACACCTCGGAGCTTTATTGCATAGTCCGTGATGAAAACTGCAAAAGAAACGAGTAAACCTGAATTGAGCAAGAAATTGACCCACAGAAGCCATAGAGAAGTATCACATTGGCGACTGCTACTAGGAGGTTGATTTGCACAACATTCCCACTGCGGCGGAAGACATCCATGATGAAAAAATTCGAAAGAACGGGACAGTAGCAGTGTTAAATATATACAGAGCAGCAGAAATGAGGAACAAAGGATTCAAAAAGTTGAAGGCGGAGAGAAGAAGAATTCAAGAATTCAATGACGTCATGTTTCAGCAATTCTTTATATTTTTCAGTCGAAGAGAAAGCATTGCTCTATTGCAGAATAGAACAACTACAAAACAGGTTTTGATGTAAATGTTATGAAAAAAGAAAACAAGGAAAAATATTCCTGAATATGAATTATGCGGAAGTTGGAACCGGCAACAAAACTTCGGACTCTTGTCCTCCACCACCTAAGTAGAAACCACTGAACTTTCAGACGATGGGGAAACGAGATTGGGGCTGCGCCGCTCGATTTCTGCAAAAATGTTTCTTTTTTTATCGTTTTGAGGTTATCTCACCTCCAGTGCTCCACTCTACCCGTGCTGTACGAGGCGTAGGAGAGAGAAGAAGCGGTTGAACTTCTGATTCCGTCGAGTTGTTTGAGAAGATATCCGTCCAAAAGACGCACTGAAAAAGATATTTTTGAAGAACGTTATTTGTTTTTTTTTGCCGCTGACTCACTGTATACGCTGCGATGAAAATTCCTATAAAGACTCCAACGAGAACATCACTCCAGTGGTGTTTATTGTCTGTGATTCTAGAGAAACTGATTCCAAGTCCAACCATTATCATAGCGGTCTGCGTGATGGGCACAACTATCCGATTGTTGAGAACAGTTCCAAGACGAGCTTGGATGTAAAGCTGGAAATATTCATGATTTTTTTAACGTTAGAAAGCAAAAACTCACAGCAGACCATACAGCACAGTACAGTGATACAGCAGAGTGACCGGAGTAAAAACTTTTACGAGCTTCTAATACTAATTCTGGTGCGCCGGTACACTTATAATCAATGATGTACCTATAAAAATTCGTTCAACTGTCTGAAAATTTACTGGAAATCTTACCTGTGTGAATCGCCCGTGACACAAGTGTCGTTAGCCAGTTTACAGACATCAAGGAAATGTGGTCGGAGTCTCCCAACGACATGCTTCGTGGCAACATTCAATGCGATGTTCATAACGAATCCGATTTGAGAGTAACCTGAAAACAAAAGTTTAATCTTATTCAATGAGTAATTAATAGGAATATTCACCGAAATATGTGAGAAGTCTGACGAACAAGGCGTGAAGATGACTGTTTCTCCATCTGTATCGAGGGTTGTTAATGCTCGACTCAATCTTTTGCATGCGATAGTACTCCACGAAAAGTACCTCAAAACATAAAAATTGAAATTTTCAAAACCTAAAATTCGCTTACCGTTACTGCATTCAATACTAAATTGTAGAGCATAAGCTGAACGGGTGTAATGGTGTCTTTTCGGTATTCATATCGAATCGAGTCGTCGTCACAAAAGAACCCACGTTGAGAAACTCCAATTAGCGTCGGGATGATGAAGGAAATGGCAGCTGTGACGAAAAGAAAAAGTAGAAGAGAGGAGCCAAAGCGGTTGGATGCTTGATGGAAATTTTCGAACGAATACACGACTACATAATAACAAAATTTCACATGATCCCTCATGTTCTAATTGCGTTGAAACCTAGCGCGGCTCGAGAAACGCTGGTTACTGTGCGCAGAAAAATAATCAAACGTGACAAGAAAACTGTTGCGTGTATGCGTACTTTTGTGATGTATTGTCTATTCAATAAAACGTGGGCGCAACATGAAAAGCTTTCCGTGACGGGCTCATCTGGATAAACTTGAGAATAATCAAAATCTGGCGAAGGATCTCTGGAATAAAATGTTGATTTCTTTAAAGCAGGAATTTGATTATACCTTCTCTCAGGGTTCTGTGAATATCTTCCGAGGAACTCGATGTCATCATCATCTTCGTCGTCGAAATGTCTATTGGCAGTTTTGAATTCCGAATAAAATCGAAAACTTTGG